TCTCAATAATGAGGGTTTGATATTCGAATCAAATGTTACTTAATAAAAGGTTTGGAATTATCCACTAACAGAAACTTATAAACAATTAAGCGCACAGGAAGGTTTTATGGTACCTATATTCATAGAAAGTATATTATTTCGATCTATACAAAAGTATGTATCGATCTATACAAAGGTATGTAGTCAAATATGATGAAGTAATGATATCACTTTTTTATACTTGCAAAATAATTGATCAAAAGTGATAACAACAATTATTATTTTTAATTATGTTAATGATCATTATTTGATTTTTATAAACATTTAGTGAACTAAGACTAAGGCGTCGCCCTCTTGTGTATACGTATATAACTAGGTAACCAGTCTGCAAAAGTTTTAGGATGAAATATCTTCTGTGCTTTCCGATGGAAGAAGAAGATTAAGTCTCTGAGGAATGATTTTGTCGATTTTTGTCAAACATGTTTTAAAGTCGAATACCAAATAAAACTTTAATTATGTTGAATAAGACTGTAAAATATACTTATTAAGAAAGTAATATATGCAGACGATATCATTAATACTTTATTGTAAATGATAAATGATACAGTTTTCTGAAAGATATACAAATTAAACGGTTTGAGGAGATGTCCAAAAATTATTTAGAAAATGTCCTGAGAGCAGATACCTTTAATAAAGCTTTTATTTCCTATATCATGTTTTGAGTTTATGGTCATTTGAAGTGTAGAAGAAGGTAAAGCAAAACAGACTTTCACAAAGTTAATAGTTTCGGTCAAAGCCATGACTCATATATTATATTTGACATAAAACACTTTAATGTTGGAACCGGACAAGGCGTGGCCCAGTGGTTAGCCTGGTGGGGTAAGATAGGAAGATCGAAGATTCGCGCCGAGATTCTGCTGAAGATCACACACACTCTCATCTAATGATGTGTTATAAGAGTAACAATCAATCTTGTTAAACAGTCAATTTGTTTCAAAGCCACACAAAGCCCTTGTGATGGTGGGTACTGTTGACTGACTGGCCCTCTGGTCAGTAATCCAAACTTAGGAACGGCTATATCTAAACACGAGGGGAGTCTCTCACGTAACCGTTTAGCCCATGTGCACCTAATTCGCTATTCAAAACTGGATCTAATATCATAAGAGACCGAGCGCGACCCAGTAGTGTTCACAAAAAATAAAATAAAATCGCGCTTTACACGTTCGAACCATGAGTGCGTTATAAGAGTGACGGTTTCGTCTCAGTTTTCGATTTGACAAGAGAAGCCGAAGAATTGGAGGTGGGTGGTATTGACCAGCTACCTTCTCTCTTGTCTAGGCCCGACATGACCGGGTGATTAGGGCGCTCGACTCACAATCTGCGGGTCGCGGGTCCCCATCACACCAAACATGCTCGCCCTTTCAGCCTTGGGGGCGTTATAATGTGACGGACAATCCCACTATTCGTTGGTAAAAGAGTAGGTCAATAGTTGGCGGTGGGTGGTGATGATTAGCTGCCTTTCCTCTAGTCTTATATTGCTAAATTAGGGACGACTAGCGCAGATAGCCCTCGTGTATCTTTGCGCGAAATTCATAACAAAAAAACTAACAAATTCTCTTGCCTATCACATAAAAATTAGAAACGGCTAGCGCTGATGGTTTTCGTGCTGCTTTGCACAAAATAAAAAAATAACAATAGCATAACATATCAAACTTTTTAGGCTGCTTCGTAGACGAAACTAAATAATGGTATGTGGAGAAGAAAAGAGTAGAATAAATTTATTTTCAACACTTACCATATATTACTGTGCTCGTCAGTCAATATTCTTAACAGAAACCTAGTTTCATTATTTGGTTCTTCTGTACAAGGTACGATTACAAAGTCACCAGGGGGCAGTGTGAAAAAGGTGACAGTTTCGCGGGAGACAGAATGAGCAGTGACATCTAATGGACGATGAGCGGTGACGTATTGGGTGGTAAGACGTGGCATATTAGGTGGGACCTGAGAAAGAAAACAGGTATTATATTTTACGTTTGTAGCACGAAACATACAGTTTCTATTTTGTAATTTTTTTCTTTCTACGACATATTGAGATATGCGTTACATATAAACAAATATATCAAATATACATATAATAAGTGTTTCAGCGATATAGCTAAAAAATTACAAATACGTGCAATTAGAATAATTGGATCACGTGTTATATTTTCTTAACTAAGAAATTGATGAAGAATATTTTACAGCAACTAGAATACTAGTATGGGAAATTATAGAGGGCGGTAGTGGTCTCGATACTGACACGCAGAAAAACGAATTACGAAATTTTATCTAACTAAATTCGAACAGAAGTAAAATTTATTTAGCTCGCTTGATTTAGAATTTTTTGATATTGCTTAAAATCGACAATAAATTCTAAGTTATTTAATCTCACTAATTTAACATTAATTGTGTAAACATTGCATTTTTCTGCAAAGATATTGTTACATTACTGTCATTATGAATTCATATTTACATAAATTAAGTTATTCCCATTTTTTACACTCAACTCGTAATTGTTGGTTACTTTTAGAGTAACTGTTGCTTTTTGGAAGGATTTTTTTAAAGTTTTTTCCTTGGGTCAAGTTTCTTAGTTTGACAGCTTATAACGCTAAAAATAGAATGGTACAGACAGACGACTGTGTAGCTTAATATACAATAAACAGTTTTTGGATAAATGGGCCATTGGCCAATGATTTAATCTTCAAACATAATGGTCGAAGTGAGCAAAATTATTTCTATTTTACTTTGTTCTTGATGGCCTAGTTTTGTCTTGTTATATGATTACATCATAAAACTACAGATCGTATGACTTCGTTATTTATTCGTTATTTAGTGTGAGTTAATAGTTTTAATATTACTAAGTTTAAGTTACATTTAAGCGTAAATTATTTTTATAAACATATTTCATCATATGTAATGTAATTCGAGCTATTATTCTTAACTTATTTTATTTTTCATTTTACAGAAATACATTATGACAATTTTCACAATTCAACCTGGTTATAAATGTAATCAAATTACATTTAAACTCTGCAAATTTGTTCATGTACTCCTGACGTTAAATTTTTTTTTACAAGTCAGATATTCAGTTGCTAAATCGTGTGTACAAACTTGCGCAGTACAATACAGTTATTATCAAATTTAATATGGATATAATTTTAACGTTAAATGCAATAGATGACACAACAAAGTGATGCTACTGTCGTTTCACAATCACCAGGGGCAACTAAGGCGCAAAACATGTCATTATATTTATAAAGGTTGTTTATTTATTAATGTAAAATTACAATTGAAACGATAAAACATTCATGGAATTGTTGATAAAAGCAGAATGCTTACACCATATGAAAAAAAAAAAATAATTATTCGTCAAGTTAGGGATAAATTCAGGATGACATTTCGGACCAGAGTTCTGTAAGTACAACACAAAAGTCAAGGATCTTAACTTCGATTATATCCTGCATACTCAAAGGTATCCAGCAGTGAAAAGGACCATAAAATGGCCTTTAAAAGATGTAAAAGATTTTGATCCGCTGTTATTTAAAATAAATATATTTGGGGTTTTCGTACAATTGTTTGAAATACTTCTATATGGATTTATATTAAAATTACTGAACTCCTGTATATATTAACAGTCTATTTTAGTGAAGTAATTTAAGCTGTTAAACAGTTTTACTAATTAAAGAATGGGGGTGATTTTACTACCTGTATTTAAAATATCAGTGTTATATTAGAATTTTTAAATTCTTTGTTTACTTCTAATCTGTACAACAAATGAGTTAAACAGACTGGGAATTAGGTATTATTGAACATTGGATTTCTTATTATTACGATCAAGGCTTAATATCAAAATAGAAAAGAACCGAGTCAACAGTAGGATGTAATATTTGGCATACTAATTACTACGTGCACGAGTTTAGTGGTTTTATGAACATTGATAATGAACATTTTATGACTTCTAATTTATTTTTTTACAAAAAATTCTGGATCAGTAACTGGACGATCCGATTTAAATAAACTCAAATTTTAACAGACAATTTTCCTCACAAGTGTTTTTTTTTCTAAGAACTTAGGAGCGAGAGAAAAGAAGAATATGTCGTAATAATAACTCAACCATAGTATATCTACCATATCTAGTGCCGACGAGGTCTTTAGCTCAATACCAAAGCTCATCAGTCCGGCTGGGATATGAAAGACCTCAAAGAAAAACTGTTGTATTAAGTTTTTCCATGATAACGACGTGTGTGAATCTGGTGGCATGCAACAAATCTAAGTGTATTTGTTCTACGTGAAGAATGTAAAGCCAAAATAAATAAAAAATGGCGGAGTTTGGGTTGTTTTTCTTTCAGTGCGATTTTAACTTTAACGTATTTCTTTTAATTGTCTATCTCATAAATATTTAGATAGATTTCTACCCTCATTGATTGCAAATACAATTTAAAAAATACGCTTTTACCATTAAAAATGGCCCAGAAACAAAAGTGTGATTCATTATAAATTATTTCAGTAAAAAAACAAAAATATGATGAATATATATATATTTGCCTCATAACATTACACGTTGACAACCACGTTCATCTTTGTGAAACCTATTATTATAAAGCCACGGTTAGTTGCCCAAAAAAGGTTTATGTGCAAATTTTTGTCAACTAATACTAGCTAACACTGCGAATTTTTCGTAAGGTTTTAAATAATTGTTACCAAATAGTTCACGCCTTCTATTAGTAAAAAAATGTATCACTACATTTCAAAAAGTAGTAATGAAACAAAAATCTATAAAAACATAATATAGATATATTTGTAAGACCTTACTAGCTAACACTGCGAATTTTTCGTAAGGTTTTAAATACTTGTTACCAAATAGTTCACGCCTTCTATTAGTAAAAAAATGTATCACTACATTTCAAAAAGTAGTAATGAAACAAAAATCTATAAAAACATAATATAGATATATTTGTAAGACCTTGCATTTTCTTTTATGATTATGAACTATAACTCATTAAACTAGCCTCATATACTGCGAAGCCTATTGGCAGAGGAGGCATCCTTTTTCCATCTTCTGTCACGTGACCCGGAGTGTAATTTTGAGTTACGGATACAACCACGTGACATTTATTTGTACCGTTCTTTGGAATATGGACGTGAAACTGTGGATTCATGGCTGTTGTCTCTGTGAAAAAAAAATTATTTTAAATATTATTTAATTTTTTCCAATGGGATTTGTAGTATGTTTCTATTAAACAGAATGAAAATTATTGGTTTGTTGCGTCACTTTTTTTGGAAACTAACTAAAATGTAAGAGTAAGGGTCTACATTATTCTGTAAAATAGTCTTCAACACTATGAAATACAAACAACAACAAATTACAAATAATTTCCTGACAAATTTTTATACCTGAAAGAACTGAATAAGTTATTGTTATTTCCATTAAGAATGAGGCGCGTGTTGTAATATCTAATAGAACAAATAGAAAACAATGGAAAATTATAACACTTACAACATTTGAAACCCAAAAATAAATATGCATAACTATATCCTGAATAGATATGTTATGAAAATAAAGTAATAAACAACCAGAAAAAAAACAAAAAGCAATCCGTTTCAAAGAAAGTAAATGATGGAAAACTTACCTTTGTACTGAGGTCCACCCCCAGCGTTAAAACCAGACCGCCAGCGCCGTCTGGCAAGTACTGCTCTCCATGGTCGTTTAGTGTGTAGTGAAGGTTCTTGCATCCAGTCGTCTGGTCCTATGTGTAGTAAGTCTAGGTGGGTGAAGTTATTTAGGAAATCTTCAAACGACATCCTATCATATAAAACGCGAAAAGTAAGTGACTGTTTGATTGTGTCGTTCTAAATATTCAGTAATTAGCTAACATTATATAAATATAGTCCACTAATTGTGTTTTATAATTCAGTTCTTGAGATTTTTCATAAAACGTATCTCATGTTATCATTAACACCCCCCCCCTTCTATTAATAATTATCAATATACGTCGTAAAATTTCATCAAGGCTTGTGCTAAAACAAATACGTCGGTCATTTTTACTCAGCCTTTAATAAACGGGAATAATAATAATAACATATTTGGAGTAAAAGGTTATCATTGCAAACAAACAAAAAAAAGACCAAAGTTTCATCTCTAAGGAAATGATCGAGATTAATAAGTAAATACTACTTCTTCGATTAAAGAGAACTTTGCTGCCATTTTTACTCAATTCTTAATGCATTTTATAATAAGCTCAGTTTTAGGCCTACTTTATTCCATATATGATGCAACTATACAGTTAGCTTTTGTTCAAAGCAAGTCTAAACCAAGAAGGAAAGTAATAACGTCGTATTTCAGTTATATCTACTAGTCTAGCTCTCTGGTATGTGAACATATTCTCGGCGAATAACTCCGGAAAAAACCAACAAGAATTTAAAATCATATTTCATAAAGTTTCAAATGGTCAATAGTTATTATTTTTTAAGATGTTTATTGTTTTTTACCCAAGGTTTTCCACAAAGTGAAACATCTCGTGTGTTTTTTTTTTTCTTCCCATAAGTTGCCAACAGCTTTCGTTGTTACTCTTCATTGTGATGGCCGAGCGTGGTCAAGTGGTTAGCGTGAGTCTGAGTATTTATGGTTTGCGTCTCGCTAACGCAAAAAAAAACAAAACAAACACGCTCTACACTGTACAGCCGTTGGTGCGTTATAAAAATGACTATCATATCCCACTATTCGGTCAGTCAAGAGTATCCCAAGAGTTGGCGGTGGGTGTAGTTGACTAGCTGGCTTCTCTTTAGTCTATGAGTTCAAAGTTAAGGACGGCTATATGCCGATAGCACTTATATAACTTGAGCGAAAATTTTAGATAAACCAACCTTATCGTAGCACTCACACCAATAACGTTTCATAAAATTCTCTTGAAATTTGGAAGTCAGTTTTCAAATGTTATATCGATATTAAATTAAACCTTCAACATTTATCAATCCTTCAAACTTTTCAAATTTGATAATATAAAAACTACATTATCCTTCATATCTTCATACACGAAGACAGACACACCCATATATACGACTATTGTCGGCTTTAGGCCTACAGAAGATGCATGTACGAGCAAGAATTTAAATCATAATAAAGTTTTTACTTTATAAAGCTTCAATGAAATGTCTTTTAGTACCCTCACAATAAACTTACAAATGACAAATCATCCTTTTTACAAAGATAAGACTTACTAACTCTGACTTGTTTTATTTATATTACCATATGATGTTTCTCATCGTAGTCAACTGATAGATAGCACTCTGAATATATCATCAGCTTAATAAATCATTGGTGGCACAGCGGTATGCCTGCGGACTTATACCGCTAGAGACCGGGTTTCGACACCTGTGGTGGGCAGAGCACAGAAAACCATTTGTGTAGCTTTGTACTTAATAACAAACAACAGGTCAATGGTAAATATAAGTCAAGAAAACAAGTCTGAAGTTGTTATTAAGATCAAAAGTAATGAATCTTTTTTAAATATTTCCAAATTCCCATCAATTTTAAAAACTTAAAAGTAATATTCTCGGACAAAACATTGTTGTAAGATGTTCTATCGTTGGACGGGTTCTTTTGGATTATTTGGTAACAGTAATGATGTCAAGTCCAATTCTTGTAATGACAACAAATTAATGTACTTCAATAATGTTTGTTACAGACAGTTTCACTTGTAGACCTAATTTCATAGATATACTTTTCAACATAAACTACGCAACTAAATGTAGTTAGTGTGAATACCCTTAGTGTAAATTTAAACTTTATTGTAAATTACTTCAGACGATATTGTGTAATTTACTTGTTATTAAAAATGTAAAGCCCGGCATGGCCAGGTGGTTAAGGCACTCGATTCGCAATCTGAGGGTCGCGGGTTCGAATCCCCGTCACACCAAACATGCTCGCTCTTTCAGCCGTGGGGACGTTATAATGTGACGGTCAATCCCACTATTTCTCGCCCTTTCAGCCGTGGGGGCGTTATAATGTGACGGTCAATCCCACTATTCGTTGGTAAAAGAGTAGCCCAAGAGTTGGCGGTGGGTGGTGATGACTAGCTGCCTTCCCTCTAGTCTTACACTATCTGCGCTAGCCGTCCCTAATTTAGCAGCCCTCGTGTAGATTTGCGCGAAATTCAAAACAAACATGCAAACAGATTCCATAACATACAAAATTAAAGATTTAAATTATGAAAAAATTGAAAAAAGTTTCTATGAATCAGAATTAGTCAAATATGATAAGAAAAATGGAGTTTATAAAATTGAAATAATAATTAAAAATGAGGGTGATGAAGTATGTGTAAAAATGGTTAGGATATCCTGATAAATTAATTATTTGGTGGATATTGCAAATATTATCTAAGGGCCCTGTTATATTTTTTGAAACATTTTTCTACTTTAGTTCTACTTCTATCATTAATTATCATTCTTTAAATTGGTTGGCCAGTTGATTAGGGCGTTCGACTCGCAATCTGCGGGTTCGATCCCCGTCACACCAAACATACTCGCCCTTTCAGTCGTGGGGGCGTTATATTGTGATGGTCAATCCCACTATTCGTTGGTAAAAGAGTAGCCCAATAGTTAGCGGTGGGTGGCGATGACTAGCTGCCTTCCCTCTAGTCTTACACTGCTAAATTAGGGACGGCTAGCGCAGATAGCTCTCGTGCAGCTTTTCGCGAAATTCATAACAAACAAACAATCGTTAAATTGATTTTGAAACGGTTTTCCTGATGTTTCATGGGTAGTTCTTCTTTCATTCTGTTGAGTGTTGTATAGAGTGATGCTTTTAGAGTTATAGAGAAATCTCAAAATGATTTCCATTTTTGGATAATCTTCTAATAATTATTTTACTCTTGAATTAACATTACATTTGTAAGTACTTGTTACACAGTACTTATAATATTCTCATAAACGATACTTTATAATCATTTGTTTAATTGGTATTTGTTATTATCTTTAGACTTCACTGCTACATGGAATTTCATTTAATCTGTTTCATTGTCTTTTTTATCATTACTTTTAAATAAATTTCTCATTGTAATATCCCTACTAAGAAGTTGCTTATTTAAATGTTCAATCTGATTTTATTCATTTTATTCTATCCATCAGTCTTTCTAATTGATGGTAATACAGTCTTGGCCAAAATGTTTGAATATTTTGTAATAAATAAGATCATTATCATTAAGATGGAATGCAAATACACTTAGTGCTGTCCAACTGAGAAATGCATGTTATATTAAACATGTACATATGTAATTTGTATAATGTCATTAATGAGACAGGTTCTGCGGACATCATGAACGAACAGCAAACAATTTTATCGGACACCTGTAGAAAGATGTGAAATTCAGCATTTAACCTATCACAACAAAATCTTACCAAAACATATATAATAACAAAATATAACCTCAAATTATTATAAGTAGCATATGTAACCTTATATAAGTTCATATTAAACATTCAGTACTTGGTTGGTTTTCCTTGTACACAAATAACCACCACAAGACGATGTGGCATGCTGTTGATGATGTTACTGATGTAATCCGCGATTTCATCCCAACTTGCAATAAAAGGCACTGCATCTCGGCTACAGTAGCTGGTGGTTAGCAATTTTATGGCCCAGTTCTGCTCAACAGTTCTCAATGGGATTACAATTTGGAGACTTTGCTGGCCATGGCAATCTTGTAACGTCCTCCTGGTTGAGATAATACTGTCCAATAAGAGCATAGTGGGCAGTGGCATTGTCATCTTGGAACACAAAGTTATTGAAAAATCTTGCCCTAACATATGGCAGAAATATTGTCTCCATGTGATGTCTATAGGAGACGCCATAGGCGTTTTTCTGGAGGATATGAAGAGCAGATTTCCAACATAATGAATAGCTGCCCAAACATGTACTGCACCACCTCCTGTGTGTTCCCTGTGTGTTATCCAGGCAAACGACGAACACGAATCCTACCATCAGCTTTAAAAAGCCAGAAACAGGACTCATTTGAAAATATAGCATGTTGCCAGTGTCCTAACTGGAACTTAACATGTTGTCTTGCCCAAGTAACACGGTGAGAGTGGTGAATTCTGGTTAATATTGGTTTGGAGATTGCCCTTCTTGCAAAATAACCTTGTTTGGTCAGTATCCTATTTACTGTTCTTCTAGATACCTGGAATGAATGTGTTCTTGCCATTCCTGTCATAAGGTGTACCAAGACGTCTTTCAACCTTGACGTGTTAACCCGATCAAAACACAGTCATCTCAGACAGTAGTTTTTGGTGTCTACATATAGATTTTCCTGGAATATTTACTGTAGTATGATGACTTTATTTTTCAATTTGTATATTTCATGTATAAATTTGTTTACCTTTCCTTTTATTTCACACTAATTGTAATGTTTTGACTGTATTATTTAATTAACCTTATAATGTATGTTTTATTCTACTGCTCATTCATAACCAATGTTTTCTAAGCTTTATGTTCTCAAATATCATTTGGATTTTACTTATAGCTTATATCACTCGCAAAACAATGGTGATTGTCCTCAATATTGGTTCTGATATTAAGATATATCTACTATGGAAACTGTCAGTTTTGCCTGTGGAAGAAGTGACATACAATCTGTGAAGAAACTATCCAGTGCTGATCTGATTGGGTCCAACATTTATGGATTGCACGAGTGTATGTTATGAGAGAGTAGTAGTATTTCTAGATACACAGGTGCGTTCCATGATTTACTATGGACAAAGTCTAGTGCCTTATTTAAACCTGCTGAAGTGTTGGAAGCTATGCATGA